AGCTTCGCGGTCGGGCCTGCCGAGCAGAGACACCAGGGGCATCGGGCTCACCCTGACAAGCAGCCCGGAGCTTCCAACAAAAAACTGCTGGACCAGCTTCTCGGTTGATAGGAGGGAGTTGTTTTGAGCCTCTGGGCCATAAGAGGCGTGGTGACCCCTTCCATCCCCCCGCATAAAGTAACGCTCCCCCCCCTCACCCCCTTTGTGCGCCCCTGGCACTGCCGCTATGATGCTCGCAGGCTACTGTGGTTCTTGCAGGCTACTTTAATGTTCGTCGTCGTGTCTGAGGGCCTCGCAGGGCCTGCTGACGCTTCCAGAGGCCTCCCGAGATCACCTGAGATCTCGGGAAACGTTTGTAGACCTTCAGTGTCGGCCGTCGTCGTCGTCCCCGTCCTCGTCCTCGTCCTCGTCTCCGTCGTCGTTGTCGTCGTCGTCATCGTCGTCGTCGATGTTGTCGTCGTCGTTGTTGCCGTCGTCGTCGTCGTTATCGTCGTCGCGGTCGTCGCTTTGGTCGTCGTTCTCGTCGTCGTAGTCCTCATCGTCGTCATTGTTCTTGTCGTCGTCCTCTTTTTCCTCGTCCTCGTGGCGGTTGTCGTCCCCGTCCTCGTCCCCGTCGTCGTTGTCGTCGTCGTCATCGTAGTCGTCGATGTTGTCGTCGTCGTTGTTGCCGTCGTCGTCGTCGTTATCGTCGTCGCGGTCGTCGCTCTCGTCGTCGTAGTCCTCGTCATCGTCGTCATTGTTCATGTCGTTGTCCTCGTCTTCCTCGTCCTCGTGGCGGTCGTCGTCGTCGTCGTCGCCACCGAGGGCCTCGAACGAACGGATTCGAGAGGCCCCAACCGGTCTCCAGAGACGTTTTTCTACCTCCGCAGACCTCCAGAGACCTTCAAAGGCGGCCATCGTCGTCTTCGTCCTCGTCCCCGTCGTACGGGTCCTCGTCCCAGTCCTCGTCGTCGTCGAGGGTCTCGAAGGGCTTCCAGACGCCTCCAGAGGTCTCCAGAGACCTCCTTCGGCCTCCGGAGACTTCTGGAGACCTTCAGAGGCGGCCGTCGTCCTCGTCTTCGTCGTCCTCGTCCTCGTCCCCGTTTTCATCGTCGTCCTTGTCCCCGTCCTCGTCTTGTCCCTGTCGTCCTCGTCGTCGTCGTTCTCGCCCTTATCCTCGTCGTCGTCGCCGCCGAGGGCCTCGAAAGGCCTTCGGACGCCTCCAGGGGTCTCCAGAAGCCTCGTTTCCGTTATCGCCGTCGCCGCCGTCGTCGTCGTCGTCGTCCTCGTCTTCGTCCTCGTCCTCCTTATTCTCGTCGTCCCCGTCCCCGTCTTCGTCGTCCTCGTGCTCGTTCTCGTCGTCGTCCTCGTCGTCGTCGTCCTCGTCGTCGTCGTCGTGGTCCGGCGCTCGGGCGCCCACGTCGTCCAGCAAGCACCAGCACAGATTATTGTTCGAAGGAGTGCGTGGGGGTAACACTGTCGTGCTGCACGTTTGCACTGCGCAGTGCATAGGCGATGTGGTGCACGCGGCTGCGACGGTGCATACTGCGCTGCGCACTGTGGTGCTTGCTGCGATGCGTACAGGCGCTGTGGTGCCAGAACAACACGGCGGGGGGGGGGGGCGTCACGTCATGCCCCCCCCCCATGACGCCCCTTATGGCCGCCTGTTATACCCCCCCTTCATCACGCTCTAGGGGTCCGCCGCTAAGCCTCCTCGGCCGCCGTGGGCCCGCCACCACGAGGACCACTTGTGACGAGGCGGCTGCGTCGCGTATCGCGCTGGACCCCGCTCGCCAGAGCGCGCTCGTCCATCTCTCTCGCGCCTCGTCGGGCCCAAAGTTGCGATCGCTAGATACAAGGGCGTTCCCTTCACACTCAAGCCGAGAGGGAGGAGGAGGAGGAGGAGGAGGAGGAGGAGGAGGAGGAGGACGAGCAGGAGGAGGAGGAGGAGCAGGAGGAGGAGGAGGGGGAGGGGGAGGGGGAGGAGGAGGAGTTGGAGGAGAGGGAGTTGGAGGAGGTGGAGGAGGAGGTGAAGGAGGACGAGGAAAAGACGCTGCGATCTTTGATATCAGAGCCGGGGGAACTAAAAGGGACGAGGAGGAGGAGGAGGAAAACGCGGAGGAGGACGCGGAGGAGGAGGAGAAGGGCACCCGCGCGCTCGCCGAGGCAATGGCCCCGCGGCTTTCACGAAATACGCGCAGAACACTGGAGGTTCGCGCGTGGTCGACTTGCTGGAGAACGTGCGCCGCCGCCCTTTCCATTGCTTTCTCCCAGTCTATCGTTATCTCTCTTCTCTTTCTCTCTCTCTCTCTCTCTCTCTCGTGTTTGTCGTTCCCTCTCTCTCTCTATCTCTCTGTGTTTCTCTCTCTCTCTCTCTCTCTTCCTCACTCTCTCCTTCTCTACATACATATATGTGCGTCTGTATAAATGAATGCATGTATGTCTGTGTGTATGTATGCATGCATGCATGGATGGATGTGTGTGTGTATGTATGTGCGTACGTATGTATGTAATGCATGTATGTACGTATGTATGTAGGTAGGTATGTATGTATGTATGTAGGGGGGTCCCCAAAGTACACTATTTTTTCTTCCGGCCGTTTCGGGCCCGGCGGGAGGCGCCAAGATGGCCCAAGAGCGCTCCAAGAGAGCCCAAGATCGCACAAGAGTGTTTCAAAATTGGTCAAACATGGCTTGAAGAAACGCCAAGAGGGCTTCAAGACGGCCGAGATGCCCTCAAAAGGATTCCCACGAGACATTCAGGAGGCGGAAAAAGTATGTTTGTTCGATTGTGCTTGAAGGTGTTTCGTGTTCTCGCTGTTTCGTGCTTCCGACGGTCCAGGACAGCCCACGAGGCCCCTGAAGTCAGCTCAAGACTGCCCAAGAGGCACCCAAAGAGGGCGCAACGACGGCGCAAGAGAGTTCCAAGATGGCCGAAGAGTGCCCCAAGACGGCCCAAGAGGCGCCCAAGATCGCCCAAGAGGGCCCCAAGACGGCCCCAAGATGGGCCCAAGAGGGGGAGCACGAACCGGCAGTTCGAGCCTTCCGCCCCACGAGGCCTCCAGGAGGCCCCAAGAGGCCCCCAACAGAGCCCAAGAGGCCCCCGCGAGGCCCCAAAGAGACCCAAAAAGAGGCCCCAAGAGCACCCCAAACGGCTCCCAAGAGGCCTCCAAAACATACTGGTGCATCGCAAAGGACCGCCCAGCCTATCGTGTCATCGCAGCGCTTCATGACATGGCACGGCACAGCACGACAGAGATAATCACCATGGCAGTGCATATCACAGTATGATTCAGCATGCCATAGCATTGCATGCCATAGCAGTGTCTAGCTGAGCCTAGCACAGCACGTCATGACGAATCATTGCCTAGGATGGCATTGCATCTCATGTCGCATCGTGGCATATATGGCATTCCAACGCACATGAATTAGTCGAACAGCACCGTCTTGCTCTGCGAAACAGTAAACAGAAGTCTGCAAATATCACACCCCCGTTGTTATTATTACTGTCGTCCTGTATATGTTTGCCTAGCAGCTCACAACATGGCATAGCACTGCATTGCATTGCATAGCCAGGCATGCCGTGTCTGTGCATAACATGTAACGCGGTAGCATCCTTCGTAAGGGAACATAGCATGGTATGGCTCAGCGTATCCTCGCATTTATTACCATAGCATTTCACAGCATTTGCATGGCATGGCATGCAATGCGTACTGTAGAGCATATCATTTACTGAATTGCATACTGGATCGTGACGTTGCGCTTTCTAGCGTAGCATGGTGTGTCATGGCATTACATAGCACAGTGCAACATGGCGCTGTAGCTGGTGAGACATGGGCTTTGTTGTTACGGTAGTCGTTCTAGTCGCGTTCTAGTCGCGTTCTAGTCGCGCCCTGGTGCGACTAGAATTGTAGTCGCGATCTGGTTCTGGGGCCGTTTCGGGCTGGGGCGAGTAGTGCTGGGGGCCGTTTCGGGGGGGAGCGAGTAGTGGGGAACGCCGCGCGCGGGAGGAGCGATTGAAGGCCCGCCCCGACCCAAAATCCCAAACCTATAAGATCAAACCCTGATGTTTTCAAAAACTTCAGGCGAGCTTCCTGAGGGCCACGAAACGTGCGAGGGTTGCGCCTCACTGACTAGAGGCTGGGCACTCATCGTCATCCACATCATCAACCTCGCCGTTAACAACATCAGAATCACCATCAGCATCAACATCACCGTACACATGAGTATCACCATCATAACCAAATCAATCACCAACATCAGCATCACCATTACAAACATCTTCGTGCTCACTGGTGGTCGTGACGGGTGAGAACCGTGGTAGTGTTGTTGCGGTCTTTGGTGATGTTTACGATGATGGCGATGCTGTTGTGGATGAGGATAGCGGTGATGAGGATGATGTTGGTAAGGTGTATGATCATGGTGGTGGCGGTGGTGACGATTGTGGTGATGTTGGTGACGATGATGGTGATGATGACGATGATGATGATGACGATGATGATGATGGTGATGGTGATGGTGATGGTGATGATGATGATGATGATGATGATGATGATGATGATGATGAGACAGACAGACAGACAGACAGAAGCCATAGACCAACGTCGTGCGGCAAAACACAAAAAAAAAAACAAAACGAAAACAACTGGCAAACACATCAGAGTGCGAGAATCTTATCTCGGCACTTGCGGGCTCTGTACTGGGCATGGTCTAAACGTTGCCGGGTGGTCCCGAAAACCTTTGAACAGGCAGGGCAAGTCGTAGTCCCTGCTGGGATCACAGACGCCACAGGTTTCCGATGGCCGTGAACCCTCATCCTGTGCGTAGCCACGGCTTTGCTGCTACTGAAAAGTTTGGCACACTCCGGGCACGGAACTGTAAGGGGCTCTGTGGAATCGTCGGCAAAAGGCGCCGATCCGATCGTGACGTCCCGGGCGAGACGTTTCCACTTCCACCAGTCGGCTGCTATGAATTCTGTCCACGCGGCTGCTCCTTTTGCTGAGCTTGGGTCCCCTAGCACATCTAGGTCGCGCCGGGCTGGTGGCAGCGCGAGCCTGGGAATCGCCTGGAGGTCGGCGAGAATTCGTTGGGACCACGAGGAGGGGGAGGCCGAGTGAGGCAGGAGGAGGGCCTGCAGTGCAGGGAAGGGCTTACAAATCAAGCTGGATATGTACAACAGGCGGCGCCGCCTGAGTATATTGTCTACAGAAGGCAGCTGTAATTTCTGCAGAAGCGCCAAATCGCTTAGGCGTGGTTTCCCAGGGATTGGAAAACGGCTCTCATGGGCTATCCTGCGCACGGCGCGCAAGTAAAATGTGTGCAACCACTGTATGTGAGTGCGCGAAGGCGTCCACAGCTCAGAATTGTAGAATAGCACTGAAAGGACGAGAGACTGGAAAAGTCGCAGCCTGAGCTGCACGCTCATGTGTTGCGCTGCGAAGACTTTCCGCACCAAGCTATGGTACACCGCGGATGCTTTCCGCAGGCGCGCACGTATGTCCAGGGCAGAGGACGCGACACCGGACTGCATGGATCCTAGGTGCTTGTATTCGCTCACAACGGAACACTCGATGCTTGGGATCCCAAGCACGGTCAAAGCAGGGCGCTCGCCGATCATCGCCTCTGCCTTAGCGGCCCGGGCGCCTTTGCCCCTCCACATGATGAGGGCCTCTGACTTGCCAGGCTTCCAATTCAGCTGCATGCCGTGCTTCTCCATGGTGGTGTGCGCCGCTTCGGCCACCAGGGCGACGTTGCGGTTGAGGCTCGCGTTGTCCTCGCCCACGATCAGCACTGCCTCGTCGTCGACGTACGTGACCTCCCCAACAGGCACGGTGTGCGTTGGGAAGGCGCCGGGCTGGTGGGCCCATGGCGGGCCGCCGGGCTCGCATTCCGCAGCGAATGTGAGGTTGATCTTGTCAAGCGCTGCTCGAAGCTCTCCCAAGGCCACGCTATACACAATATTGAAGATCAAGGCGCCGAAGCGGCAGCCTTGGCGGGATCCCCTCGTCGTCCGGATGACCTTGCCCTCTGGGGAGAGTGCGAACCATGTGTCTTTGTGCAGGTTGGCCACTAAGCTGATGAGGTTTTCGGGGACATCGATCTGCTGCAAGATGCCACCGTGCTGCATGAGGTAGTTGGCCAGATGCGAGGCTGCCGTGCTCTAGTTGCGCGGCCAGGTCCGCCTCGGTGGTGGAGCCGGCTACAAGGTGGAAGGCCATTTCGCGTACAAGCTTGTCGAACGCCTTCGTGAGGTCAAGGAACAAAATGGCCGACGGCCTCTTCTCGATGGCGGTCCTCTCGACGAAGCTCGACACGACGTGGTGGCCACGGTTGGCCCCAGAACACGCCACCCCACCGCACTGCTGCGGAGGTAGCGCTTCCTCCACTCGGCGCTGAACGGAAGGGTACAGGACACCTGTGAAGATTTTCGAAGTGTGATCGCCCACCAGGAGCCCACGGTACATGTCGCACTCTGCCGTGTCGCCCTTTCCTTTGAAAAGTTTGCCTAACCGTCCTCCGCGCCATGCCACTGGGACGTCATTCGTCTGGATGACGTCTTCGATGATCTCTGCTATGTAGTCGGCTGCGAGGTCGCCGGCAGCCTTCCACACCTCTATCGGCAGGCCGTCGGGGCCTACCGCCTTGTTGTCCTTGATGGTCTGAAGGAGTTGGCTCACTCTATAACGCACGTTGCCCACCTCAGCGAAGGCGTCACGAACAAGTTGCGGATCGGGCAGCGGAGGAGGCGAAGGCTGCGGGACGTCTTGCTGCAGCTCGCCAATTAGGAGCTCTGCGAAGAAGGTCTCCCGCCGCTCCTTTGCCTGCGCCTCAGAGACTGCGAACTCACCGTTGGCCAAGCGAGTGCCTGGCAACGTGGACGGAGAGAAACCTCCGAGTCGACGAACGATCGAGTAGGTCTTGCGGAGGTCACCGGCTGCTGCCGCCTGGTCGGCCTCGCAAGCCAGGGTAGTCCACTGGTGCTCGCGATCAGCGACCAGCGCTTTGGCCTTCTCGGCTTGGGCGAGTCGCAACTGATGCAGTGATCGGGCTTCCGCAACTCGAGCGCTGTGAAGCTGGGCGTAATGTAGTCCATAACGGCGCTCGTCGTCCCGTGGTGCATTCGACGCGCTGCGCAATCTCCAGGCAGAGAAGCACGCACGCAGGCGCGCACTCCGGCAGTGCCAGCGAGCGTCGCGCAGGGCATCCTTCAATGTCCATGCGCGCTGCATGAGCTGCCACGCGTGCTGGCTAATCCAATGCTTGCGAGGTGCGTCACCATCTGCTGCAAAGATGTCCTGTACCAGCTCCGTCATGGCCAGGTTCAGCTGCTGCAATTTCTCGTGCGGGCGGCCCCGCAACGCGACATTCTGATCCCAAAGCCGCTGCTGCAGTGCGAGTTGCAGATGTGGATCTTTCAGCTTGGCTCTGCAAATCTTTGGGGTCTTTGCTTCACGGGGCCGGTACCGCTTGTTGACGACCAGGGAAGCGCTGACCGGCCAGTGGTCAACGGAGGTGGCAAAACTCATGTCCATCTCCAAGTGCGTGTGCACGTCCCTGGCGGTGGGAGCAAGACCCTTAGACACTATAAGATAGTCGATGCGGTGCTGGTGCCCAGAAGTCGCCTGCCATGTCGGTCGGTAGTCCTGCCTCGTCGTGCTGACCACATCCATGTGGAACTCGGCCACTGTCTCGCGCAGGCGCGTGCCCGACTCGCTCTCCTGGTCACGTGAAGAAGCCCCCACGCCTGGTGAAGCGAAAGGGCCAAGCCATGCATTGAAGTCACCCGCGATCACATAATCAACCCCTGCTGACTGCGATGCAATGAGGTCCTCCAGGCTGGCGAAGAAGTTCTCCCTTTCCTCTGGTGGCGCCTGCTGCGTAGGCGCGTGCACGTTGACAAAAACAAGTCGCCGATGCTTGGCCGATGCCTGAAAAGCATGCGAAAGTGCGTGGACACGGTCAGTTACCTGCGTGACGAAGGAAACCGACTTGGCCAGATGGTGCCGGACCCAGATCTGATTGCCTCGAGCGCGGCAGGGCCCAACACCAGGGAACACGTACATAGTGTAGTGCTCGCCCTTCAGGGTGGTCTGGCTGCTCATCCGCCCTTCCTGAACAGCCACGATGTCGAAACCAGCGTGGTGAAACATACATTCAAGCTCTGCCATGCGTCCAGTGCACGTCAAGCCCATTTGAGCGTGCACAGCCCGCAGGGCGGTGATGGGCCCTGCCGTAGTAACGTTGGCAGTGGTCACTTTAATTTGGGTATTTGTGCATCTAGCCGCCTTGTCAGAGGCAGCATTCGCAGCACCATGGGGGTCAGGCCCTCCCGAGCCCCTGGCTGCGTGAGCATCCCCTGGAGGCGCTATGGGGGGGTTGCCAGGGATGAGCCTGGAGCACCCAGCTGGGGCGTCTCGACGATGTGCTTGCCGAGAAGACGCCTGCGGTTGCCCTTGCCCTCGGTCCACTGCGCGACCTCCGTCTGCCGCGTGCACTCCATAGCACCATCTTCCAGCGGCGGCAGCTGAAGCGGTGGCGTCTCGCTCATATCGTCGTCCTGCTCCTCCTCCCAACTGTCGTCCTGCTGCTGGTCCTCCTCCTCCTCCTCCCAATTGTGCCCAGCCGTGTTGGCTGGCTGGCCGAGGAGGAGTAGCTGGTCGGCCAGGGCCGCCGGGTTGGTGAGGCTGCCTGCGCGGAGCTGCTGGGCAAAGTACTGCAGCTTGGAGGCGACCCATGGTGGCACAGTCGCCTCGGAAGTCTGCCGAAACCCCGATGGGGTGTGCGACAAGTCCTTGATCAGCTCGGTCTCCATCGCACGCATCTCCTTCTGGCGCCGCTCCAGGAGGTCGGTCTCGTCGGTGATCCTCTTCTGGGCCTCCTTCAAAGCCAGCTGCGCCTTGAGGAGGCGCGCCTCGCCACGCTGGATCGCGCCTCGCAGGCCCTCGAGTCGCTGGCCTAGGGGGCGTCCGTCGCGGAGGCGCTGCTTGACCTGCTCGGCCTTGTCCTGGAGGCCCTGCCAAATGTCGGGTGCGGCAGTCTCTCCCAGAGCTGCAATCGCAGACTCCAGCGATGTCAGCTGGGCCTGCAGGGCGGCACGATCCTCCTGCGCAGTCGCCCCAGCCTGCGAGGCCTCGGCAGCCGCTGGTGAGGTCGAGCTCGCGGACGAGAGCGTCGTGTTCATCTCGTCGTTGGCCTGGCGCCCCTTGCCGAGACGCCCCTTGCCGCTGTGCCAGGCTGCCGACGCGGCAGCGGTTCCGGGCTTCGTCCCCGGCGGGCATCCGCGGCACTGGGATCGCGTGTCTCAGTTGTGGAGGCCGCACAGCAAGCACTGCCACGTCATGACTGCAGAGAGAAGTAAGGGCAGTGCACAAGCGGATGTAAGAGAGGCCGAAAATCTGTGACACCAGGTTGGACGTTTGGCGGTCCCTGGAGATGCCACCTTGATGTTTATGTTGATGACGATGACGATGACGATGACGATGGCGGTGATGATGGTGAAAACGGCGATAATAATGACGAACGCGGTGGTGGTGATGATCGTAACCACCACATTATTGTCTCCTGAAGTTGGGGCAAAACGCTCCGCAGCACGTAGTCAGAACGATGATCGTTTTCGGCGTGCGCAGGCGCATCTGGGCGCCTGTAAGCGAAGCCCTAGGCGACCCTGTTGGTCACGAGCGCGGGCCACTCTATGGCCCTCAGGATGATCCTGGAATTGGCACACATCCGCTTCAGCGAGTCCATCAGGTCTCGGCCAGTGATGGCCACGCAGGCCTCCACCTCCAGGGTGTTACACCCCCTCGCCAGGTACACGCCCAGCGCATCATCCCGACCGATCCCAGCCCGGGTGCCACGCGGCTCGCGCTCGTCCTCGGTTGCGCGGGCCGTTCGTTCCGTCGCGCGGGTGTTCTGCTCGATGGCTCTCACGATCTCTGACGCACCGACTCCCAGGGGGGCGCCGTCACCATCTGCCTGGCATCGCTCGGAGGTCCGAGCGATGGCGAGTCTGGGCCTCCCACGCGTTCGCCTCCAGGATCGTCCCCTCGCAGCAGGCGCCCAGGGCCTCGGCTGAACGCCCCGCCTCCCGCCAGCAGAGGGTTTCGGCCTACGTCGGGCGCGAGGCTCCGCCCCCGACGCACAGGGCCCTGGCCTCGAGTGGCTGGCAATCCCCGCGCGGCTGGCGCGGGCCTGCGCTCGCCCCGAACAGCTTCCGCGTCAGCTCGTGATCTCCTCGAGGCGCAAGTTCCCTCCGACCCCGACCATCGGCTCCGAGATCTCGCGCGTGGAGACGGCGCCGCCACTGGGTCAATAGATCGCCGCCGCGCCCTGCGGCCTGGCCTCGCGGGGCCTGGCTGAGCTCGGCCAGGGCCTGCCAGACGTCGGCCCCCACCGCCCCGGCGGCGGCCCCGGCGTGCCACCCCCCGTTGTGGAAGTCGCGCCCCGCCTGGTCTAAGGTCACCTCCGTAACCTCGGCCACCGTGCAGGTCTCCCTCTGTGCTCTCGTGGGTGGACGCCCTGCCGCGGTGGTGGTGACCCAGTAGGCGCATCGCATCTCGTCCCCAAAGCAGCGAGGGGGTCGGTGCCGCCATGCAGGGCCGACATGAAAATGTCGACCGTGGCTAGCGCTCCGTCCTCCTCGTGGTCTGGGGGCGGCCCCGGGGGCGGTGGCAGCGGGGGAGGGCCAGGCAGGTCTCCCTCCGTGCTCTCGTGGGTGGACGCCCTGCCGCGGTGGTGGTGACCCAGTAGGCGCATCGCATCTCGCTGTAGTATGCTCCGTCGCGTAGGGCTGAGATACTGCCGCTGGCGGCTCACAGTGGGGACACTGGTGGGAACAGTGGGGGCAGTGGGACAGTGGTGGGGACAGTGGGGACAGTGGGACACTGGTGGGGACGGTGGTGGTGGGGACAGTGGTGCGGGGGACACTGGGACAGTGGTGGGGACAGTGGAGCAGGTGGGGACGGTGGTGGTGGGGACAGTGGCGAGGGGACAGTGGGACAGTGGTGGGGACAGTGGGGACAGAGGGACAGTGGTGGGAACAGTGGTGGGGACTGGGGACGGTGCGACAGTGGTGGGGGCACTGGTGGGGACAGTGGGGACAGTGGTGGGAGCAGTGGGGACAGTGGGACAGTGGTGGTGGGGACAATTGTGGCGGGGACAGTGGTGAGGGCGGTGGTGGGGACCCGGGAGTCGTTTGCCGACGGTGAGGGGGGGGGGGGTTCGAACGAACCAGTAGTGACCCCCCCAGTTTTCTGGAGCGGGGGGGAGTTCGAACAGGTAGTGACCCCCCCCCCTCCCTTAGAGAGGGACGGGGGGGGGGCCGGGCGAAGGGAAGGGTGGGGGGGGTGTTTGAGCAGGGGGAGGGGATTTTCAGAGGGAGGGAGGGGGGGGAACCCTGGGTTCCAGAGGAAGAGGTGGGGAATTTCCACAGTAAAGCGGCGGTGGATCACGCTCTCTTTGATCACCAGAAATCAGAGCGTGAATTACCTACCCCGTTTTCGCTTCCAGGCAAAACCAAGTCATACCACGCGCCTCCTCGTCAAGCGGCCTGACCAGTACAGGCCGTAGTTTGGCATCGATTGGCATCTCTTGGAAGCGAGGGTGGTCAAAAGCGAGGTAGGTTTGTTTGCCCCCTAAGAAAGACCTTCGAGCACCAGGGAAGTACCGAACGTTGCAGGGATTTCGCGGTGTCGGCCCTGGGAGGCGATGGTCGCTCGACGCTTTGCCAGCGTGCTTGGTGCTCGACATTAGTTCCGGAGCGCGACCCGCAAGCACGATGGGAGCAACACAGCTATTGAGCAGCGCCCAACCCAGACAAGCGGCTGCTCCAACGTTCTCGATGCATGGGCCCCGGAGCTCTGGGCCACTTCCCGGGGACCGGTTTCAGATCCCGAGCCGTTTTCTGCCCGCCCGGAGGCCCGGCGAGGGGCTCCTGGGAGGCCGAGAATTGCCCAAAACCGTCCGCTCTACAGTCAAAAAACCTAGTAACGACGCGCGACTTTGCTCAGGGTACCCTTGCGTCCTTGCTCTTCCTTGCTCTTGCGTCCTTGAGGTTTTCGTCGTCCGCCGCCCCCCCAAAAAACCCAATTTCGGCTTCCAAGGGTCTTGCGTCCTTACCGCGCGTCCTTATCAGGGTTTTTGACTGCACTTCCCCGGGACCGGTTTCAGAGCCTGAGCCGTTTTCTGACGGCCCGGAGGCCCGGCGAGGGGCTCCCGGGAGGCCGAGAATGGCCCTAAACCGCCCGCTCTGATTTTTGTTGGAGCTTCGGAGCTCCAGGCGTTTTTTTCTGGACGCCCGAAAGGGGCACGGAAACAATGGGTACAATGCCCAACAGCAGGTCCGTTCCTGTTCATTTTGACCCTGACTCGCTGTCCACGCCGCCGCGGCCTGTGTCCATTCGAGACAGGAGGCCGCCTGCCCAACAGCGGCCGCTGTTGGTTTGGGACAACATTTGATGTTGGGCATTGTACCCATTCTTTCCGTACCCATTTCGGGCGTCCAAACTAGAGGCCGAACATTGCCCAAAACCGCCCGCTCTAGTTTTCGTTGGAGCGTCGGATCTTCAGGCGTTTTTTGGCGGGGGCGGGCATGTCTGCGCAGATGTTTAAAAATAAGCCTGGCGAAGGACCCAACCATATGCAGTTGTGAGTACCGTCTTTATAAGCAACGCATTCGGTGGGGTTACCTATGTGGCCACGAAACGCTGCCCTGGGTAGGGGAACCGCATGCGGGCACCCCCACTGGGGCCTTCGGTGGAGCTCCTTATGGGGACACGAAGCGCTGCCCTGGGTGAGGGAACCGCATGCGAGAGCAGCCACTGGGGCCTTCGGTGGAGATCCCTATGGGGCCACGAAACGCTGCTCTGGGTGGAGGAACCGCATGCGAGAGCAGCCACTGGGGCCTTCGGTGGAGCTCCCTATGGGGCCACGAAACGCTGCCCTGGGTGGGGGAATCGCATGCGAGAGCAGGCATTGGGGCCTTCGGTGGAGCACCCTATATGGGGCCACGAAACGCTGCCCTGGGTGGGGGAATCGCATGCGAGAGCAGCCATTGGGGCCTTCGGTGGAGCACCCTATATGGGGCCACGAAACGATGCCCTGGGTG